AGATAGAGAGGGGGCAGATGTCTGATATTGTAGGTAGATAACTTTAACAGGCCTACAGTAGATATAATCTTAGCTAAGAAAGATATAATGAGAAAGACTCATGCAGATAAAGGAATAACAAAAATCACATCTGAGAAACAAAGATGTATCCACAAAAAATGGAGAGATTGCTTTTAATTTGTTATTACATGTAAATAAACATAGTAAAAAAGTATATAATTTTTTATTTATTTCTTGGGGTCTCCAGAATGAATTAATCAAATTCCCACAAAAATCTATGGTTAATCTATAATCAGTTAACGAACAGTTTGGATAGCACACATGGTCTTGGAATGGATTATGTTCATTAACCAACACTGTATATTTTTCACCATAAATATATCATCCAATAAAAAACAAGATTAGAATCACCAACAATTTCATTTCTAATTCTTCTGAAATTTTGGTCTAAATATTATTATTAATTTTTTATTTTATCACAACATTCTGTCAAAACAGATAGTATAAAAAGAATTTTTTTCCCCATCAGTTCAACAAGGTTTTCATCCAAGTCACATAACCTTCGAACAGAAAACATTTCTATTAGCTGTTGTTCAATGACATCTATTTGTAAGCATGATTTTGATGTCCATAAATAGGTCATCGATAGGCAACAGTCTACATCAGTGTTTCTCAACGAGGGCAATATCGCCCCATGTGGGCATTTTTCCATGTTGAGGGGCGATTAGTAACAATTTAAATTTTTGGGGGTGAAAAACAATTTTCTGGGCGATATAGTAAAACATTATATTAAGAATAATTAGATATTTTATTCATTATATCGTACAATAATTAAAGAAATAACATTATACTAGTCACTTGTCTATTCAATGCAGTACGAATTTGGCATTAGCCTTGGCCCTCGGCATTGGCATTTTGAAGTGAAGGGGGTGATACTACGTAATGGTTTTATTGAAGGGGACGACGATTCGTCAGAGGTTGAGAAACACTGGTCTACATGAATCATTCTGCTGGATAAGACTGTATAGTGGAAACTAGCCTTACAATACTTAATGTATTAAAAGAAACATTTCACTTATTTTACTTATGAAAACAAAAACATATTAAGATAGTTTTAAAAAAATTATATTATTATTTTTCTAAAGATAATATATGGCATATTTTATATTGTCAACATATAATAATTTCTTTTTTAAACATACTAGCTGGGGTATCCGGCTTCGCTCAGGGAGTTGATATGAGATTGTGTGGTAGTTGGAATAAAAGGATAAACTTTAAAATATAAGAGGTAAAAAAATTTAACTGAAAATATATTCTTACTATTTACATTACTTGTTTATAAACAATATTTTTCATTTTGTTATCCGGGGTATATTGCTTCCAGTGGTGGTAATCAAATTTTTCCATTCATACAATAGAATCCTGGTGTTTTTCCACTGAATTTTTTTGCATTGCAAAATTGGCACATGTTATCCATTTTTCTGATTATGACATGTTTGTGTTTGTTATATTTTTTCATCGGATCGTAGTGGAATGCTTCATTTGTTAGGTTGTACTGTTTACTTGTCCTCTTCCACGCTTCTCGTAGGGTGATATGGTGGTTTGCATTCTCAGTCTTTTATTATAAGATTCCAGGCTAACTAGAAAATTTTTATATAGATCTAAAAATATGTTTGATTTCCTGCAAAAATGCAAAAAACTGCATCTGCAGCTGTAAATCTTGCATGTCACTTTCTGTTAACACTTCAATTGTTACTTAACCACTTCCGTTGTTAACACTTCCCCCGCAAGGAGAATTTCGAAAAATCCCTCCTCAGTGTACGTTCTCATGACATACCATAACTGTGTACCAAATTTCAACCTTCAACTCTTAACTGTTTGGGCTATGCGCTTCTTATTATTATTCAGAGTGGCTATTTCAAAGGGCAATTTTGGCAACTAAAAATAATATTGTCGACGATATTAACTTTAATATTCAAAAGAAAATTCAGAACTGTCAAAAACTCCTCCTCTTTTAAGTTTGGGCATTGTATAAAATATAAATCAAATCAACTTTTTATTAACAAATACACTAAGTACACTTTACACAGTTTTCACACACTATTTTCAATTTATATTCAGTCACTGTATCACTTTGATTACTCACACTTCACTATTTGTTTTTATTCACTCACTGCACTACTTTGGAATTTTCACTTCTTTTTCGGTTCTTCCCTTCATCACTGATAAGAAACTGATGTTCGAACCCACGACGGTTCTTGCTTTATATATCCCCACGAAAGGGTAGTCTCACCCATACAAAAAAGGCTTCAAATGGTCCACAATGTTCCAGAACATTCCACAACATTCGAGAGTGTTCTGGAATGTTGTGGAATGCTCTCAAATACTCTCGAATGTTCTGGACTGTTCTAGAAATTTCTAGAGGGTGAAACTTCTAGTCCTTATATCTTCAACAGCATGCCCTTCAAGTAAAAACGGGAACCTTCTTCATGAATGAGGGATAGAGGTCTACCACACCATATAACTCCCTTGATCGTACCAGGACTCGCTTTTGAGTTTTAGCAGCACGCACATTGTACACTTACCTTTATTATATATATTGATTGATGATTATATTTACAGTTATATATTAACAATTGATAAAAGTGATTAAAAATTAAAATGACTATATATTGTATTGACTTTAGAAAGATTTTAAAAGATTTTATACATATTTTAACACATATTTAGAATATTTTATAATTTTCAATAACTTTTATAATTTTATATAATTTTAAGAAATTATCAAAATCTTGAAAAAATATCTTAAAATTTTATATAATATGGAATATCTTAAACAAAAACTGTAACATAAATTTTAGTAGAATACCAAAAAATGAAACATTAATTTAAATCATTTGCATCAAAATAATGTTGAAAATAGAAAAACTTTTAAGTAAAAAAAAAAAATCTTCAAAACTCATCATATTTTGAAATTTTTTTGTTTTGTTTTATTTTGCACAATTCAATGTAAAGTGTTTAATTACAATGTCAAATCTCCTTTATTAGTATTGAATTTTAAAATCATATATTAGCATTAAAAATTATTTAAAATAATAAAAAAAATAAAATATTCATAGATTTAAAAAACATTAACATTCAATATTACTTCTTAATATTATACTAAAATGATACTGCATATACAATTATATAATCATATCAAATGATAACTTGAAAACATGGGATTAATTTGGTAGCTACAGCTGATGTCTGTTCACTCTGTTTATATTCTTCTTTTTTATTTCTAAATAAATTTCTCAATCTTTTTTTTTATTACATTAATTACACACAGTAATATAGTAGAGCGTCGTTTATCCGAAAGTCGGTTATCCGAAAGCATTCCAGTCGGCAAATTTAAATTTTCGCTAGTGCTGTAGCGCTGCAATCTTTGGCTATATCTTGGGCTACTCCAATATTTTTTTTGGTGGTGTGTGTGTTTTAGCTGACAGCACTGGCACTTTTGTGTGGTGTTTTTCTGAGGACTGTGTCGTGCTGAATCGAACGTTTTTGATACTAGATCAACTTCTAAAGTATATTTTTTTGGTTTTTATATTTTTCAATATATTTATTTTGTTTGTACAAAATAAAAAAATAATTTTTAACGATACAATAGTCTTTGTTAGGCTTAACATCGACGAAAATTCAACGCGAAGCGACACGCAACGGAGAAAAATTT